AGTCAATGACCTCACAACTTTTATCAATGCCGTTTTTTCTAATCAACGAACCTACAAAACCTGCCATATCGTCTAAAACAAATTACTATCTGTATCAACTGCAGAAGTTACTTAATTAGATTTTGTTGACGCACTATGCTAATGAAGACGGCAAACATCAGAACGTCATCAATTGTCGTACGCGATAACAATAATAATTATAACATCTGTTAGAATGTCAGTAAGTGTGTAACTATTTGCTTTTGCGGTTGTAGGTATTCATTTACATTTTATAAAAAAAAAACAATAAACGAGTCGAAACATCTCGAACGCGGATGAGTAACAGTATGCAATGGTAAGTTTCTGTAATCATTTTTAAAAACCCACGCATCGAGAAGCTCGTTTGAATTGATTTTTGGTCACCCATCCAATTTACAACCTTTGTTAATCCGATAATCGCAATCCGAAAGCGCTAACCATTAGGCCGTATATAGAAAGAAAGCTGGAAGCCGACTTATCAGCGCTGGTCCTCACTGGTAACAGTTACATAAAGGAAGCAGATTGAAGCCTAGTTGTTCATTAATTTCAAAGGGCGGTGCCAGCGCTGATCAGCGTTTGTCGGCACTTCTCGGCGACGTACGGCGCTTATCGGCGCTGGTCCATAGAAATGCCTGCGCCGGTTACCGGTAAGATCCAGCGCTGATAAGCGCTGGTCGGCTTCCAGCTTTCTTTCTGTATACGACCTAACGTCTTTATGTTTCGCCACGCAAACAAATATAAGTACATAGCGACTCCATATTTGACACAAATTGTTGTTAAGGACTTTCGGATTAAGAAGAGTTTAAAAAAACACAAACCTACTTCTTTAAAATTTAGTATAAATACGGAAAAGAAGACAACAAGTTCAGTTACGAAAGGAATAAAAGTACTTTAACAGTCAGGACCATAAAAGAGAAAAATCCATTCAAAATGGGGACTGACTGTTATATATATATATATATATGTGTGATATACCTTTCCATAACAGAATTCTAGACTACTGAACTTTGTCTTTTTTTCAGGATTTATTTAAAGTTATTAAATATTAGGCAGGCGAGATTTTTCATTTTTATAACTTTTATATTTTCGACGGTCTTTCTTATTTTTATTTAATAAGTTGTATATTTATAAATATTTTCTTAATTGTCTTTTAAACCTTTTTAAACAAACTCGGTGGGTTATGTGTTAAAAGTTTTTTTTCAACTTGTTTCATTTTAGCGCAACAATTTAAAATCAACATTTCATTTTATAGTCAACAATTTTGATTTGTCACGACACAATCACGACGAATCAAATGACACCTTGCATATCAAAATACGTCAAGCTCATGTCAAACCTGAAAGGATGTAGGGCATAGCCAAAGAAATAGACATACAATACATACGCTCGAAAACACTACCCTCCGCAGTTGGGTAATTAGGCCACAAGACTAATTAAGGAAACTAAACAATTTGTCTACTAAACTTGGATATTAACTAAGTGCTGTTATTTAGACAGTGCTAACAATTTATTATTTCTAATTTGAACAATTTAGAAGTAAACGCATAAAAATAATTTGAAATGTCATAATAACAATGCGAACACGACTAACGTTTGACGTCATTAGAACCGGAAATATTAAGTAAACATAAATAGCGTCATATTGTATTAAAAATAAAAACACACACTTATGAAGACCTCACCTCACAACTTTTATCAATGCCATTTTTTCTATTCAAAGTATACTTGATGAGAGCAATCTAAATTTACTGTGTTTAAACAAAATCATATGTAGCTCTACATTTCGCTACAAAATATTACGACAATAATGAACAAGCAAATACCTAGACCAGTGAATTGTTACTTTAAACTTGACATTTGAAGCAAATAGAAGATGGAGACACTTAAGACCAGCCACAAATTATGTCTAAGCATACTATAAAACATTTTCTTCACACATTTGTCTTTTCACTAAGAGTCATAAATATGTATAACGTTTTCGATTTAAATATACCTATTAGACTCTATCTTAACTTAGTTTTTCATTTCATTCAATGAATTATGGAATATTAATAATGTTGCCTAAAGTAGATAGCGAGTGTTCTGAGTTATTCTTTCTTATTCCACCTTCGCCTTTCCTGCAGAGGACCACGCGCACTGGCCTAAACTGTGGCCACAATTCCAACGCGTACAAAGAAATTTGGTGACTCGTTTCTTTGTCGCACTATCCGTAAATAGAATGCTCTGCCTGCTCACGTGTTCCCTGCTACCGACAACATGGGGCCCTTTAAAAAGGGCGTGAAGAAGCAACATGCAGGCCGGCAAGGTGAGGATGGCTGGTGTGGCAGGTACAACTGCTGTACCAGCTATCTTCACGTCTGGACTTCACCGTCACTTAGCATCAGGTAGGGTGGAGTCATTTGTGGTACCTATCTATAAAAAGAAGATACTCTGAACCAAGTAAAGAAAAATCACACATAAAATATCATCAGATTTATCAGATAAATAAACATACCTTTTCTCCAAATGGTATATCCGAGATCATTAATAAAATACTTTGTAAAAATATTTTAAATTTAAAAATATTTTTTAATCAATTTTTTTTCTCAAATATTTTTTTTTCTCTGCGTCAGGGACCGGACGTGCCGCTCTATTTGCGTTTCCATTTTTTTTTCTCTGAAAGCGCCACTGAGTGAATTCGCCTTCTAGCGATCTTTTAGACAGAGTCTGGTTAGTGGCTGCAAGCTTTACCTTCAGCTTATATCGCGACTCTCCTTGACAAGAGTACTCAGTCTCTTGCAATATCGCTTAGAATTGGTGTCAAGACAAATCATCCCTATCGCTGTCGTTGCGGTACTCGCGTCAGTGAGTTTGGACACCATGATCTCTCAATTGTTTCTATTATTTAACGTTCCTTATATAACAAACTAAATTATTATCTTAAAGAACATTATAAAGACAATACTAAGGCAATACTGATTAAGATAGAACACATTAAATTCCATAGTAAATTTGCCACAGAAGGCAAGTAAATTTTCTATTTCTTAAATAAAGACACAAACTACTCCACCTTTAGTAGGATATACTTTCACGGATAAGCTATCCATAATACGAACGATTGTTTCGAAAGTAAATGGGATAAGTTTACTCGTAATACTTCCTAGTTAAACAACTTTCTTTTAATAACATTTCATTGACCGACATACGGCGTTGTAGCAACGCGGGCGGTGTACAACACCATCATTCATAACGAGCCCAAACAAAGATTCCCGAACAAGATCATGAACATAAAGAGGTAACGAGTGCACACCCACTGCATAACGGTCATACTGATCGACAAAATGTAACATGAGCTAGTCAATATTGTAGACGTAGATACAGATGAGAGCGTAGAAATTATATCCATCGCGTTGATAGCAGAGACCTCGTAAAACTCGTCGAAGGAGCAAACGCAGTGAAAGCGATACTTATCGATATGAAATGATCGACAGATTATGTCGATCACACGACCGGTAACGTGAGTAAGCAGGTTTTGGACTTCTTTTTTTAACAGTTGGACGCAACGTGATATTTTTAAACACTTCAAAAATCGTTTGACGGTGGTAAACGAAAAAGCATTTTTATTTAATAATAATATACGTAAAAGACATTACCTATTCAACATAGCTAGTTAGCTGTTATTTATTGTTTTGATCACAAGCCCAACTTATCTTAATCCATAAATAATATAAACAAAATTATAATTTAGGTCAAAGTCATCACGAAACGATGCGACGAGACATCTTCACATCAGAACTAGTCCGCGGATATAAACATAATATTTATGAAGGGCACTTAGGACATTGCCATTTTGATTTATTTATAATTTAGTTTCCACTTTATAAATATGAAACCGGTATACACATATTTGTCTGCACAAAGGTATTACGTAAAGTGAAATATTGTGCATAGTGCGTATTGCGTTGTATGTTTATACTTTTTTCTACGTTTTTTCTACCTCCGAATCCATAACAAAGCAATGCATAAGTTTAAGAGGATTATTGTTATAATGATTAAGATGACTTGATTCGTAGACATTAAATGAAAAAATAAGATTTTCATAAAATTATAAGTCGTCGAGATGCTTGTTTCAGAAACTTGTGATAGTACTGTATCTGTAAGCTAGGTATCATATATAGACAAAAATCGTTTGTACAAACTATATATTCATGAATAACCGTGTCAACCTAAGGAATTTCTTTAGCAAATAATACTCACGATGAAAAACAATAATAGAAAATAGAAATATATAAACAATAGACGATTTACAGACATGAACAATCTAAACAGAGATCGTTTGTTTAAAGATCACAATAACTACCTACTTATTTTCAAAATTTGACACGTCACCCTAACTATCTATTCTAAGCCATTTATAGTGCTAATGCTCTATAATTTTAGGTTGATCTAACTCAGCCACGTGCAAGGCACAAACCATTGTCCCTTAATATTATATACACAGTTCCATTCATTCGAATCACCATGCTTAATACATCATATCAAATCGTCCAGGATTATCTTTCCTTTACCGTTTTTGTAGACTATAAAATAGTCATTAATAACCTTCAAAAATGTTCTACTAATCTATCTGCCCGGATAGAGGAAGATGGGGGTTCGCGTCCCGTCAGAAACATGGATCAAGTGGATTGTTGTCTAGTTAACAAAAATCTTTAGATTTAAATATTTATCAGTTAAACGCTTAAAGTATAATAATGTTCTACTAAGGTTAAACAACTTATCATCAAATAACTGTATCTTCAAATTCCAAGGATGAGCTGTAATTTGCATCGATTTATTTAAATTTATTCACACACATTTTTGTACTTGCTGTTTTCCCAATGTTTGCAGTGACAGAAAATAATATCTACTGGACATGCTAGATCGACCATAACAGATAAAGATTCCTGAGGATAAATGATCACATGATGCGAAGTGTTTAATTAATTATATTCTTCATCAATTACCTTTTGAACGGGCCGCGGCGGTTCAGGAACATCTGAATCCCACTCAGAGCTGAGATCATCGCTTGACGCCTCCGTGAAATCTTCATTCCAAGGTACTTCCAACAGCGAGCTCTTCATCTGGTCGTACCCAGGGGACATGGATTGGGGCCCATATTCAGGAGGCAATGGACTAGACGCTCTGCAGTCCTCACAATTACAAGGCTTAGGGCCTAGACTATCTTTACTTGGAGAACCATCAGTCTTAGAATTCCTTTTAGAATCACGTTTCCTAGCGCTTCTAGGAGAGAGTCTGTTGTTACACTGCGGAGGTATGTAATACCTAGTCGGTTCCGACATCCTCCTACAAGTATCAGGAGCCTCTATTTTCACGGGGGTCAGTAGAGACATCTTCTTCGTTAGCGACTGTGGCCTCTCGTTCTCCGAATGTTCTTCGGGCTCCATGGTGTAGCTTATGATGGGTATGGTGAAGGTGAATTGATCCGTCCACTCTGGCATTATGACCACTACTCACTTAACATGGAACTGCTTAATGTAATATTAACCAACATTTTACTAGTTTTCGTCACAAACACGAAGGTTTTATGAACTGCTCCGAACACGGGCGGTGCGATCGCGAGCGGACTCAAGACTGCGCACGCGGCGCGAGTCGCACGCTACGACGCTAACTAATAATCCTCGTTTAAGGTTCCTTGATATGCGACTTTGACTTTTATCACCAACAAAATAAGAGCAACCAATTTTAATGGTAACAGCGCTAACGACCATAATCACTAATTTGGTTCAAGTTTCGTTGACTGAAAAAGATTAGGTATTTAAGAAAAACACTACCAGCATTTAAGCGATAGAGATAATTGTAATGATGTAATAATTCAATTTCTTCGTGTTTTATATCACTTTTAAAAATACTTACATTGTTTTCATTTTTACCTTATAGACACTCTATGGATCACACGGATTTGCATTTATCATGCGCGAGTGTTTAAGTCGAATTTTTAAATAGTTATTTTTGTGATGCTATTATTGAATTACTTAAAATAAATGGCAAACTAAATCAGAGAAAGGGTAAGTTTTATATTCATTAATATTCAACATTTTTGTGCATTACTTTCATCCTAAAATTAAAACCTTTGTTGTGGAAAAATAATACTTACCGCAAACGAACAAACCCCGAGAGATACATATTTCATCATATATAGAAACTAATAAAGTTCCTATATTTTTTGTATTACATATCATCAACCGTCAGCCAAACGCTATTGCTTTCATTAAATCTGTGTTACCACAAGGTTTACTTAATTCCGTCAAAGTAAAAATTCCGGTACAACCATTCGCAATATTTAATATTTCTAAAAGGATGCAGTGTCTTTTTCCACCTACTTTCACGCGTTTGCTACGTAAAACCAAATTTGCATTGAATTGAATAATGCCGCGTGGAATCCAGAACGTAATTAACATACATATACCTACACAATTTTCTTTTGTACAGAACGTACAACTACTCTTTTGAAAAGTTTTAAGAATTAGGTAGGTATCTATAACATTTGCGGATGAACAAACTAGTACGAAATGATGGATTTATACAAAACATCGTTGAGGGAGACGGTAGAAGACCCATAGACTGACTGGGTCTACCTTGTATCATAGACTTTTAATGATATTATTATGCATATCAGCGGATGGCATAAACTTCAATTCGCAGAAATTCATTTGGCATTCACTCATATAGCAGACATTCAAACACATAAAAAAATTAAATAGAATCATGTTAAGGCACTTAAATATCTACAATAATTAAAAAAATAAAGCAGAACCATCGCATGGCGTTAAGTTCACAGTCAAAATCGTCTTTTGTCAAACACCTATTTAACTCTTCCTTTATGAAATTATGTAGTATTAATTTATGCAAAAAGTAATTTATATCTAATAATATTCTGAGATGTTAAAAGTATGTCATTGTGAATTCGGAAATCTATAGATTCAATTAAACAGCAATAATTATATTTTTAAAAAATCCTGGCGAATATACGTTTAAAGAAAATTATATGAAGTGTCAGATAGAGGCAACCGACTTTAAAAAAGTTCACAAGTACCTCATTTGTTTACCCAGGTTGAATTAAAGAAAATTATTGTTGTATGAGTTTTTAATGTGTAATAAACTAAGAACCAATTGTCGTTGGCTTCTGTATTTAAAAATCGACAGCGATTTTATTAAGTACTAGCGGCCCGCCCTCGCTTCGCTTCGGTGTAGAGCTGAAGCGTAGACTACAGTTTTTGTTCTCAGGTTTGTTTTATACACAATGACATTCATCTATGATTATTCTTATACCTGCATGCAAAGTCTCAGCCCGTTCGGTTTTAAAATTGACAAAGTTTCATACAAACTTTCATTCCCTATTTTATCCCCTTGGGGGTAGAATTGATCAAAATCCTTTCTTAGCGGATGCCTACGTCATAACATCTACCTGCATGCCAAATTTCAGCCCGATCCGTCCAGTGCTTTGGGCTGGGCGTTGATAGATTACTACGTCAGTCAGTCACCTTTGAGTTTTATATATATAAAAAAACTAAAGATGGTATATTTATCTTTTCCAAACTTCTATTGACATCACGTCGCTTAATTGTTTTGCCTTCCCAGAATCTCTCCACTAACATTTGAAATTTATGGTATGGTATTAAAGTTCAAATTGACTTTTAAGTATTATTACGAATCGTTTGTATGGGAGTAAAGAAAAGTTTTGTTTTTTGACATTTTCAGGCATTTTTTTTAATTTTTTTCTTCGTAAGAACCATCCTTGTACTTCAAGGAATATTCTAAAAAAAAATCAGCCAAATCGGTCAAGTCGTTTTCATGTTATGTCGTGACAACGGAAAACGGGTTTCATTTTTATATATATAGATACGAAAAGTTGTTACTTATCTCAATGTTTATGAAATAAAAAAGTGTATTTGATCTAGTGATTGAACAAGACAGCTATTATAGGATTGGTCGTGTGTAAAATGCTGTAACATAATATAAAGTTCCTGCCAAATTGAAGTGAAATTTGAACAGAATATATAAATATAAGAAAATAGTGAAATAAATATAAAAAAATATAACACTGCTCTACAAGACTATAAAAACCAATGTAAGTGCATAGAACATCTTTTCTATACTGTATATTAATATTAATAAGAGAAATGATTTGATTATTTGTTTGTTTGCATTGAATAGGCTCCAAAACTACTGGACCGATTTGAATAATTCTTTCATATTTAGAATCCTACATTATCCCTGATAAAAAAGGTTATAGAGTATTTTAAAAAAGTAAGGGTTGCGTATGAAAAATTCGATAATGTAATTCAATATGTAAAAAAAACTACCAAAAAATAACCTTATATCGCGTACACTGCGGAAGTAATAGACAATAGAGCAAAGGGATGTACTAAAGTTTTATAGAGGACAACTATAGCTACAAAAAAGGTCGGAATACCATATGTCTAACTATTACAGTTATGTCACAACTAAAGATCCAATGCGGTTTCACCCGCGTTAATTTGAGGAAAAAGATTATAGTGTATAGTTTTTCTAGTTATATTTTATTTAGATTTAAACATCAAGCAGTTACATGCTTTAAAAATAATAAAAATTATAACTATAATTGCTATTTCTTCTTTCAAATGTTTAATACTTGTAAAAGTATTCATTTGACATTGTGGGTTTACCTATAATGCGAAGAGATGGCGCTGCCTTGCAGCTTAAGAATAGCTAGAAGGAATTTCGACGCGGTCCGTGAGGGCCGCGGTAGCATAATTGGTCAGTGCATTCGCCCGGATTGCGAAGGGTGCGGGTTCGAGTCCCGTCTGCTGCCTGGTCCGCGTGAAATTTTTTCTAGTTATATTTTCTTTAGATTTAAACATCAAGCAGTTACATGCTTCAAAAATAATAAAAATTATAAGATTATAGTGAGTCAAACTTTATAAAATGGATATATGCTGACGCAGACTTTTTATAGAACTTTTAAAAGGGAACAATTCCGTCATACATTATTTTTTGTGTAACTTGAACTGTTTACACAGCGCACGCAACGAGGGCGGACAACTAGCTTATTTATATATACTGTGCATGTGCAACTAGTCTATACATATAATAAAATGGTAGGAAAGTCAAAACTGTACATTGAATATTTTTTTAAAGAATAATAAATAAAAGTAAAGTTAAATAAAATCTTAATCTTAAATACGTGGTACTACTGAAACGCTTGATTACTTGTACTACGGCTGTTATTTTACCCGTAGCACTACGGCAGTATAATTGCTAGTAAACATAACTATAGGCGTAAATAAATAATGATGGTTAAAAAAAATACCCTTTTGTATTAGTTTATTGCAGAAATGTATTTTTCTAGTTAGGTAGAAAAATACATTTCTGCAATACAAGTAGGTATGAATTAGGTCTGTATTACACCTAATATAATATAATAAAACACTAAAATTGCAGCAATTTTTTATTTAGTAATTACACAATTCCTTTAATGTATGTTCTATGATCTAGCATATTTTTTCCTGAAGTTCTCGAAATAGTCTCATCAAAATAATTGTTTGGTTTTTGGAAAACGTAAAAACACAGACAATGATCTTACGCCCATATTTGAAGTTGAAATATATTGTTTCGTGGAAATTATGTTTACTACAACGTCACGACCTTATAATTAAGGCTTTGTGTTCTCATATAGACAAAGCAAATGTTTGTGCGATAATTTGATTGTAACCTATGACGAATATTTGTAATTCATATCTCTACAGTTAGTTCTTTATGTTAAAATTACCTTATCTCCTAAACTCACTACTATTTTAATCAAATACTTCTCCCTATAAAGCATGCTATTTGTATTATACGTTTTCATTTATCATTGTACGTACGAAGTTATATCGAAATAACAAGAGTTTCTTAAAATCGACTCTGCGTCCTTACAATAAGTGGCATAATGTTTATTTAAAAATGTAGACTAGAAGTGCGTTTTTAAGCTTGCTTAGCGATGTCGCGCTAATAATGTGAATGACGTACATACACTGAAGTATCTGAAAACATGCAAATTAATTCGATACTTAAACTTGAAAAGACCGGAAACGGATTGAAAACGGTAGAAAAATCGTGCTGATCAAATTTTTCTACATCTCAAAGCCAAGCAATGTCAAATTGACTATTTACTATGTCGCAGTTATATAAGATCCGGGCGTTTCAATTCGAGCGGAAAATCCTCTATTCTTATCACTCTTAGACTTTATATGACTTAAGAGTTATATTTTAAGTAGCAATTCCTGCTAACTATAACCGTTTCTGTTACACTAATTAAATAAATAAATAAATAAATAAATAAATAAAATAAACTAATATAAATGGATAAATATTTAGTATCTATGAAGATAAACCACTTTTTAAACGGGTTGTGTCGTTTGAACTGTTTCTTTTTTAATGTTTTACATATTTCCGATGTTTTGGATCCTTTACAGGTTCCATGTTCACGAGAATTGAAAGGGAACTGTAAGTGCGCTTGTTAACGAGACGATTCCTACGTCCGGAAGTCAGTTAAGTATGGGACACAACGATATTAAATACCCTAGATACAACAACACGAATAAAATCGTGGCAGAAACCTGTCCAAAAGG